AAACATGACCAAAAATTATCATCTGTAGTTAATGTTTCAATCTATAGGAATAAAGAAACTTATTTAATAGTTAAGAACTTTCTTTTTTTCAAATATCAAACTTCATCAAAAAAAATTAATGATGCTTTTTCAACATGAACAGATGATAGTAAATGATTTTCTGTTGTCATAGATTCTTGTATTTGTTCTTTTTTCTTGCTTTGTCTTGTTGATATAGCAGTTGATTTTTTTGTTGAATTTGATCGACGACGAGAAGTATTTTCTTTATGTTCATCATTATTATCACTTTTTTTCTTATTATTAAAAAATGATATTATTGTTCCACGTTCATTTTTTGCTTTTTTCTTTACAGGTAATGAAATAGGTTCTTTTAGTTTAGCTTCTAATTATACAAGAAAATAATTCAAAATGATTCATATAATTTGTTTACCGTGTGCTACGATTGTATCTGATGAACAACGTTTCAATGATAAATAGTGATGACTAGTAACTTGTTCTAATTGTTTAAGTAATGGTGCACGTGCACGTGATTGGGAACCGTTGATTTCTGTTACCTAAAAGATTATGATGTTTAAAAAATTCTCCGTGATATTTTATTTACAGTTATGATTTAAACTCAGGTGAAACGAAAAAGCTGATGTTTAAACTCGATATCTTCATTATAGTTGGCAAGTTTCATTTCTCACATGGATTAGAAAATACAATATCGATCGAGTGGTTGATATGAAAGCCTCTATCGTAGTTACTACAAAAATACTTGGGCAAATATCTATAATTTTTTTATTAACTGAAAAATATTTGCAGACATTCCATAAAGCTTTTCAACTATATCAGGCTTTTCTTGAACGAGTAGATAGTTGAACTGTGTTTTTCAAGTCGTAAAGACAGGAGGCACTAATATTGCATCGTTTTTTTTTCTATCACTCTATTTATAATTAATACCTTACAGATCATAAACTAGAAGAAATCGAAAATTAATAAACTCTTGCGATTTTAAATGGTTTGGACATGTATTTACATAGGTTACAGGGTAGATTCATACTTTAAAATTATGTTGTTCAGCAAGTGCATGTACAAGTGATGTTGTTCCTGAACCATGAATAAAAATTATTTGTGGATGTTCTTGTTTTGATTGACATCGATTATAATATATCATATCTAAATACCAATATTAAATAATTTAGCTTTTAATCCTTTTATACATACTTGAGTCATCAATAAAATCTTCATCTGAGTTATCATCATTATCTCTGGCACGTTTTCGTCCTTTTCGTGTAGTTTTCTGTGGTTTATCATTATGTAATTTCTTTGTCCAATGTAAAAACCATTCATTTAAACGTCGGATTTGTTTTGTATGATTACCAAGATAAGCTTTTGAATGTCGTGGGCGATATATTTCTGTCCAAGGTAATTGTTCACATTGATCTATGAAGAAAAAAAGAATGTATTTCTTAATATATTCAAGGAAATTTTTTCTAGAATTTACTTTGATCTATTGATTTCTGTCGATAATCTTGTAAATGGTGAAACATTGATTTCCAATCAATTGCTGATTGAGCATAAGAACTTAAATTATCAGTTGTGTATTCTTGAAATAATTCCATTTGACGTTCATTCGATGGAATACGAATAAACTTAAATTGATAAAAGATTATTTAATAGACAAAATTGAACAATCTATACTTGAAATTTAGATGATTCAATTTCATTTTGATTATTTGTTTGACAAATACCATGAAAATTTCGTAAATAATTCGATGACAAATCATTATCTGATTCATTTAATTTCCATTGATTAAATAATGGAATTATATTATTTTGTAAAGATTTATCATCTTGACGTATATGTACAGGTAAAAGAAAATCAGATGGACGAGATGGAATTTCTAATCGTTCAATAACTGGTTGTACTTCAGGTTCACATTCAATTATATCTAATACAAAAAAATCAATCCTTATATATAATGATAGGACTAGAATCTCTCAGAAGAGTATAACTCAACTATTATATTTGACAGTCTTTCAAAATATTTCTAATATATGATTTTTATTCAGGCTTCATCGAGTGTAACAAAATTTTCTGAATGAATGTTTTCTACTTATCTACATTTCAAAAGTCAATATCTGAAGATGCTCTTTTCTTCTAATATAATAGGCTTTTTTAATAATTATACCTTCTTCTTTATCATCTAGGAGTATTGGTGATTGTTGTTGAGATTTATCAAAACATTGAAAAATTGTTTTTTGTGTTAATTTCATAATAGAACATATAATAAACGAACTTAACTAATTCATTCAACAAAAAAAAAGAGAGTCTTGTCTTACTTAATGCTTCTTTTTATTGGATTGGTTTATATTTTTCATCAATTATAATATTTTATTTAGATAATTCGAAATAAAAATTCTTGTAAATAAAAATTAAAAGAATTATTTCTAATAATTTAAAATCTTTCGAATTAATTTATTTTCTTTTTCATTACAGCGATAGTAGCGACATCAAATGAGTATTCAATTATATCTTGATGTTTATTGTTTATTTATTATCGTTCAAGATAATGTTATATCAGACGTGATGATCTTTTTCTTTTATCAATGGGATCAAAATCCTCACCGTCCGATATAGTAAGACAAAAGAAAATGATTTCGTTCTTAATTTTCTATTTAAATTTTTTATTTTTCAAAGATTAATCTAAAATTAATTCTTGTCAGTGGTAAAACAGCTGAATTTCAATTTCGACCATCGACAACAGCATCTGATGTAGCTAAACATGTTTTTGAAAATTGGCCTGAAGGTTTTTTTTTGTTGTGTAATAATTGTATTTTTATTTTCTCATTTTTGTTTTAAATTAGATTGGGGAAATGAACAAAGAGTTGATCGTTATGAAGTATTAAGATTAATCTATCAAGGAAGATTTTTACATGGAAATGTTACGTTAGGAGCTCTTCGTCTTCAACAAGGCAAAACAACTGTGATGCATCTTGTTCCACGTGAAAATCTTCCTGAACCTACAAATGGCGATCAAAAACGAAAACATAAACATGACAATAATCAAGATAGAACAGCCGATCATTCACAACGTGCAATATCACCACATCGATCAAACACTGCTAGTCCAAATTCAACAACAACTGGGTGCTGTGAAGGATGTACAATATTATAAATATAAAAAGTTTTGAGAAAAGAAATGTTTTTTGTTTTTGTCAGATGAAGATTTCTAGAAATGAGTATTCTCTAAAAAAGGAAAAGAAGGAAAAAAACCGTCCGTTGTCATGTTTTCTTTTTTTGTTTGCCGGTGGGTTTTTCAATATCTGTCAATTATGTTCTATTGTATTTTGAATTTTTCTTTAATCGTGATTTTCTCTGCTTATTAATTATTGTATAAGAATATAAACTAATTTTCGCTTTTTGTTTTGTTTTCTCTTTTTGATAACTATATCCTATGTTCTCATTCATTTGCACTCATTGTTGTTTCTTGTAATTATTCAAACATATACATATAAAGAAGAGAAGAAAACATTCACATACATTTCATTTCTAATAACTTATTTAAAAATAAATAAAAAATTTGTATTAACAAAACAAAAAAAATCTATGCGCCTTTATTTATATTTTCAAGATGACTAATGATCAACAACATGATATTACGGAAAATAAATTACACAAAGAAATGGAAGGTATATTTAGAATAATATAAATTCCAAATAATAGTTGAGAATATTTATGATGAAATATGATTTTGCCGAACTGTTTTTTGAGAGTTTACAATTCATTAGGATCGAGTTGTTATGGATTTTTCATTCCTTTGTATGGCTCTAAAATTGACCTTAGAAAAGTGTGGAAGCATTCGTATTAATGACTGTTTTACTTAAATTCAGGTGCTTATTTTTAAACATTTCTATTTTCGACTTATTAAATTACTCGGAAATACAATGGCAAACTTTATGTTACCTAGACTATGCTTTATTTGAGAATCTGGCTTATTGATAATATGTTAAATATAGTAAAAGGAAACCCTATGGTTCGATTTTTTTTATTATTTTCAAATTACTTGAAGACATACTGTTATTAATAATACACGAATTATAACTGATTAGACTACTAAGCTTCTTAAATATTAAAAAGCAGAAATGTCAAATGAGTACATATGAACTTTAGAGTTTTGCCCTAGGCTTCTAGTGTGAGTTACTAGTAGATTTATTGTTATATATAATTTATTTAGGTATGGATGATGATGAACGATTGGAATATATAAATAAATTAAGTACAATTGTTTTTGATGAAATCATTGAAAAGAAAAATGGTGAACCATCAAAATGGCAAAGTTATTGGGAAAAAGATGAAAATGATATTGAACATTGGTCAGAAAATGATATACGTCGTGATCCAATTAAAGGCTTATTAACAGCTGTTGAAGATGGTGATCTTTTACAAGTTCAACAATATATTAATTCTGATCGATCACTTCTTGATGGACGTGATTGTGATGGTTATACAGCATTACATCGTTCGGCAAGTGGTAATCATTTAAAAATTTGTGAATATCTACTTGAATCTGGTGCAGATATACATGCATTAACCGATGATAAATGGAATGCATTACATTGTGCAGCATTTTGGAATAATTATGAAATAGTATCATTATTATTACAAAATGATATTGATATAAATTCACAAACAAATGGTGGACAAACAGCATTACATTTAGCTGCATCACAAAAAAATCATCGTGAAACAATTCAATTACTTCTTATGCATCCATTTATTAATGTAAATATTCAAAATAAATTAAATGAAACAGCAATTATTATTGCAAAACGTTCCAGTGCTGTTCATTGTCTATTTGATTTATATACAGATGCATTAATGAAATTAAAATAAATTTTTATCTGTGATTTAGATCTGTTAAAACTTAATAATAATTTGATAGTAATGCAAAATTTCGAAATCTTAGATTTGATGATTAATACTATTCGCAGTCTGTTTTGATAGTATCTTGACAAATCAAATTTATTACTAAGGTTCTTGTCATCATGAAAAGAATGAGACAATCTTATATAAATTGATTTATTTCATCCGTTGACTATCAATTCTTCTTTTTATCATGAAACTAAATCAATTATTTACAGCGATGAGCCAGCTCCATGAATGTTGTTTACTTAGGCTAATGTATCATCAAAATAAAAGCAATTTTCGAATTCACGTGATAATAGAATCCTGTTGATTTTTCTTTTTATACAAAACATAGAATAAGAACGTGCACGGAAGAGAAAAAAAACTAATAACAATCATCACAGAGAAAAAGAAAAAAAAAGTTGATGTTCAAATGAAATTCGTTCGTACGAGAAAACATGTCACTGTTATTGTTTGTTTGTTTTTTTAAATAAAAAGACGAAAAAAAAGAAAATGATTGCTTGAGCTGTGTTTAATATAAATAAATCAACACACATCAAAAATGAAAAAAAAAAAGAATTTTAATCACAACTGAAAAACAAACCATGAAAAAGCAAAAATCACACAGCATCAATACTCGTGCAAAGTTCACGAAGTAATTGTAAATTTTTTGGTGTTACTGATGAACTTGAACTTGCTTTATCAATTAAAGTACTACCAAGTTCTGCATATAATGCTGATGTTATGGAATGTATAGAGGAATTTAAAGTATTCACACCACCAGCTGATGATGTTACAGTCGTAGAATTTTGACCACGTAATTGAGTTAACAGTTTCCAATAGGTTGGTAATAGATGAATTTCAACTTGTTTCGGTTTTCGTTGACATACTTGAGGTACAAGAGCTAAAAGATAATAATAAATTTTAAATCTTGCCAGATTTATTGAGAATGAAAACAAAGGGACGTAATACTAGTAAATTCCAAAAGCATTGGAGGCGACGCTAGGGTTCTACAAAGTGGTCGCGTTAGTTTTTTTATCATATATTAAACTAGACATTTTCTTATCTATAATCTTTGTAAATTAAGAAATGGCAAATCAATCTTTCTTGTTCGAGCTATGGAAAAAACATGTATTTGATTCACATTGAAAATATTAAAAATTTTTACCAACTTCATATATTATTTTGCAGATAAAGGAAAAACTTTAGATCGGGACGGGGACCAGCAGCAAACACTTGACCGGGACCGAAAAGGTTTTACCGGGACCGGGACGAGATCGGTACCGAAAAAAAGTGATTTTGCAGCTCTCTAGCCGCGACGCGCCCACCCCCGATATGTCCCTGCTGACTAGATATATATAAAAAGGTACTATTTAAATGATCAGTATTTTTGATCAGTAACTATATCCTTTCTGAGCAGTAAACAATGTCGAATGTCAGTAATCACGATCAGGGCCTGCGTATGAGTATGATTGCGATTGTGGGTGTGAATGTGCCTGTGGATGTGAGTGTCCATCTCGTATCCATCCACACCCAGTTTGAATTTTTTACTGATAATTCACAATAAAACTACTGATCGCTTTTACTGATCATTTTGAATAAAAAACTGGCCATTTAATTTGTACCCTATATAAAACATGAACGTCAATTTGAGAGTAATCAGATCAAATTGAAAATTATTGAGTATTTATGCGTTCATTAGAGAGTTTATGATGAGTAAATCAATATTGATATACTTTTGAATCTGATTTTGTCTACATTTTATTTGAATAATTTACCTGCTAATTTAAGAACAATCTCCGGTCGAATACGAAGATTACTATTTTGACTAAGTATACATAATGGTTGTAATAATACACCACAATCTATAAAAGAAGGACAGAAAGAAATTAGATAAATTTATTTTCTATCTATTATTGTACCAATATATTCAATAGTTGTATCAATAATATCCGATGCAATTTGTGAGATTTCTCGATTGTTTGATGCAATATTTTGTGCAACAACTGGTAATGTTGAATTAATAACACTTGATAATGAATCGCCTAATATGGGAACAAGTTGATGCATTGTATTTAATGCTTTAAGTACAACTTTCGAATTCGTATCAGCTAAACATTCATTGAAACCATCAAATATTTTTACAAGAGATTGAATAGCTGTATCGGTTTCAAGTTCACATAATTTTTGAAATTCTTCAATACCATTTACACGTTCACGAAAATCTGAACTACGCATTTGTTTTGTTAAATCTCGAACTTGTTCGGCTTGATCAGCTGTATTTAATTTACGTGTTGATGAAAATTGCTTTGTTAAAGTTCTAAAATTATATTTTAAATAAAATCTTATACTATTTGAAATATTTATC